GGAACATTCATGCATAATTTAAATACATAATCACATGGAACCAGAAAAAAAAAAAAACATTTTAGAAGAGAACTCAACATCACAGTTGTCTGAACCAATGAGCATTAAGCTGTGTCGTCAGCCAATCGTTTCCCATCATGCTTTTGATCAGTGCAGTCGGTGGAGAGCAACTGCGCTCGACTGCACAATCCGACACAGCCGCCTCACCATCGTGAGAATTTTTTGGCACACGTCAACATGACATCAGAGCAAGTCGGACGTAACTCGGACATTTCTAACTGGCATGCATCTTGCGGTGATCACCGGTGATTGGTTCGGCACAGATTTTGCTCATCTCAAACAAGCCTAATTTCTGACTTAGCTGGATAATGTGTGCTTAATTAGGGTTAAAGCTAAACTCTGCAGGACTGTGACCCACCTGAAGCTGGGTTTGGCATACAAGCTATTGGAACAGAGCTGGGCAACTTTGGTTCTGGAGGGCCGCTGTCCTGTAGAGTTTAGTTCCAACCCTAATCAAACACACCTGAACAAGCTAATCAATGTCTGATGTGTTTGATTAGGGTTGGAGCTAAACTCTGCAGGACAGTGGCCCTCCAGGACCAAAGTTGCCCAGCCCTGTACTGGACAGACAGAGTAATGCCAAATCCTGTTCCTGGAGATCTACCTACCTGCAGAGTTCAGTTATAACCCTGCTCCAACACATCTGTCTGTAATTATCAAGTGCTTCTGAAGATATAAATTATTTGGTTCAGGTGTGTTTGATCAGGGTTGGAGCTCAAGTTTGCAGGAAGGTACATCTCCAGGAACAGGACTGGGCACCCCGATTTTGGCACTATATATTACAAGTTAATAACATGATGAACAGCCTGAAATGCAGGGAATCTTGATTGCCACCATAACTCTCATTTGCAGACTGCACACATTCAATCCGAGTTCACATTTGTCTGAAAGTTTTACAATTTGTATCCCACTAGTGCAATTTGATGTACGGTTGGAGGATCTACTCATACAGGACTCTGCTTGAGGCTGCACAGACCATTATTTGTCTACAACTGGGTATTTTTAATTATGATGAGGTAAATATTAAAGGCATATACTGAATTGGATCCTGCATTATCTTCATGACATTTGTAGTTCTCAACCTCTTTATATCCCAGATTTTGGTGGCTTTCAATGAAGCGCTCTTATATTGCTTAAGGCAGTAAGCTCATTCAAATAACCATGTAAATGAAGAAACTAAAAGGCCTTTGGGTGCCCAGCCATTATAGATGTTTAGCATGCAAGTATCCACAAGAAGACCAAAATCAGTCATTCTTACAAACTATTGATAACCATTGAGAACAAGAACAAGAAGTTCAAAATCAAATGCAAAATGGTTGTGAAATTTGGTATACTTATTGGACAGGGCATTACTGGTAGCAATTCTGACGTCTCTCTCAAACTTTCCAAGCACTACTGACAGTTTTGACTTTCATTTCTGCTCATAATTTTTGAATAGTGTGGCCTGCAGTGTTGGGGAAAGTTACTTTTAAAAGTAATGCATTACAATATTGCGTTACTCCATAAAAAAGTAACTTATTACGTGACTTTTTATGGGAAGTAATGTGTTACGTTACTTTTTAAATCTGGACAGGGCTTGCTTGTTTGTTTTTAAAATAAAAAAGTTCTATTTTTGGCAAATATAAAAGCCTTTTCACACCAAAAGTGAAATGAATAAGCCTCAGGCTGAAGGGAAAGTAAATGTACGTCCGTACAGCAGAATGCAGAAGAAGAAAGTTCAACACACTTCAGCAATAAAAAAAGACTAGTCCTTTTTAAATCTGGACAGGGCTTGCTTGTTTGTTTTTAAAATAAAAAAGTTCTATTTTTGGCAAATATAAAAGCCTTTTCACACCAAAAGTGAAATGAATAAGCCTCAGGCTGAAGGGAAAGTACATTTACGTCCGTACAGTAGAATGAAGAAGACACACAAATGTTTGTCTAGAGTAATTTTTGCTTATTAGTATGGCTGAACTGGATCATCGAAGGTCAGAAGCAAAGACATTGTTAACAGAATGGGATTAAATACAATTAGGATATTTGTGTTGTTTAACATTTAATTATTGCAGGTTTGCTCATATTCTGAGTTGCATCATTTTTAATCATTTTGAGGAATTCTGAATCTGTGTTTTTGTGAGTGAGATGAATTAATGCATATTCATATTATTTTAGAACTACAATAACATCTTCTGATTTCTCTCAACATAGGGACAGGAGAACTGTCAAACAATAAATTGGGGGGAAAAAAGTAACTTGCGTTACTTATTTGAAAAAGTAACTCGGATATTCTCTTGTAAATTAAAAAGTAATGCGTTACTTTACTAGTTACTTGTAAAAAGTAATCTGATTACGTAACTTGCGTTACTTGTAATGCGTTACCCCCAACACTGGTGGCCTGGATATACATTGTCCACTTGTTTTCAATTTTCACCCACACTTTTGTGATTTGAACAAAAAAAATGGCATTTAAACATCCTAAAGCTCTCATCTGATTTTCTCCACATTTGGGTTGGATCATTTTAATACACCAAATAATTTGTGTGTAACGCTGGGATCCTCATTCCTGATGCTGGAGAACCACTTTCCTAAAATTTAATTCTGCTGCTTCATCAGTTTGTCCAGTTAAATCCAGATGACACTGTGCATTATAGGCTTCACTTATGCAAATAGCACCTATTTCAGTGTTCCATGAGAGAGCTGACCTGCTCAAACTTGTACGAAGAGAAAATAGATGGTCTCTGATGCCAGAACAAATACACGAAAGCCATCATTTGTCAGTCTGTACTTAACCTACAGCTTATATTCAGTTTTCATAACATCTGGATCAGGTAATCTTGAGACTACTTCTACAGTTATCAAGCTTTTATATACCCAATATTTGGTGTAACACAGATTCTGACTCCTGAACCCAAAGAGACACTTTCCTACAAGAGTTTAGTTGTAACTGTGCCCCAAACACCTGGCTGTCATTTTTTTCGGAGTCCAGTTACATTTTTTTGTATAGAGCTTTTTACAAAACACATTATTTCAAAGCAGCTCTAAAGAAAATTGTGATGTTAATCTCTTAATATCTTCATGCCTTATAATTAATCACATTTAGCAGATTCGAGCTGGGCAACAATATACTTAACCACTCAGATTTGAAGAACCAGTTTATAGTTTTTGTGAAGTTTAGGCTTACAATCAGTGTTTGGTGCTTGTACATCAGTGTCATTCATTTATCATTTCCTCTGATTTTAGGGATTACTCATAGTTACGGTTAGGTTTAGGTGTAGGGATATGGTCAAGACTAATTATTTGGGTTAAAATATTGTTCCAGGGTCAACAAAATATGTTGAACACATCTGACTCAGGTAGGTTCCTAGGTCAACATATGCGGTTAGGTGACAGCGCCACCTACAGGACAATTTGTACAGCTGTAAAATATGGCGATGTCCAAAATGCCCAACAGTTTGAAAACTCCTGGCTCAGACTCAGACAAAGTCAAAAACCTAACAAATTTTTCTTTATTATTTTCAAGAACATTAGGCTAAGTGGTATGGCCAAGAACATGCCTTAAGGGACTCTTTATAGCTCTATGATTCCAAAAAAATATATAAATATTGCTCTGCTTTACAATGTGGATCGCATTAACGTACTTGGCCACAATATTGCTGCTTGCAGCTATATTCTCGGCTTCATTTTTTTTTAACCTAATAACATTGCAAGACTACAAAACTACAAGGCAATCATCCGGGGGTGCATTTCCGTAGTAAAATGGCCAAATCTCCATCAGTGGAACCATGTTGGTATAAGACGGTTGTAAATGACATTTCACACACAAGTGGAGGAGTAATAACCTTTGCTAATCAATCGATTAGAGATTGCTATTATTGTCAGACCGGTGTCAATTACTTTGCCAGATTAATGTCAATTGCACAAGTAGAAAGCTGTTCATTTTTTAATTGCGTTAACATGCAGTATGTAATTGCCGTACATGGTTCATTCAGTCTGCAGCTTTCTCAGCTGGTCTTAGAAACGTGGCATCAGAGGACTACTTCACTGTTTTTGAACCTTGTCGTGTTGTTTTATTTGATGTTACAGATTTACTCACTCTTCAAACATGGCGCTGATTGTTTACACATTAATATATATATATATATATATATTTAAAAGAAATGAAAGCGATTGGAACATACTGCATGTTAGCTTGCTTATTGTGCCCAAGAGCATGATCAATGCAAGTCCACATCACGCTAATAAGAAACTACTTCAAACCACAGTTCGGGAGCTGCAGTTCCAACCACACAACTTTGCAAATGAATGTTCGTTGGAAATATGGATTCAAAAAACAGAATCGTTGAACTACGTTAGCAATGACAAACTGAAACCATAGTTGGTTAATAATGCTTTTGGGATAATGGAGAAACTCTAATAACAAATTACCGGAAAAGGCGAATCTATCAAAAAATATATCAGATTTAAAGCTGTTTGTTTTTTTTAATGTTGTGTATACTGATGGTTCATCCATACATCAACCAAATGCTTGAGACCTCCTCAAATCATGCTCCAATGACTTACAGTGCTTGTAACAACATCTTTATCCAGATTGAACACCAAGTGCACTTCTTTTGGAGCCTAAAACATTATCATTACAAGCAGCAAATGATTGCCACACTATTATTGAAGCCCTCTGAACACCAACCATTATAGGAGAAGTCACCATTCAGGTAACAATGTTCCAATTCTTAAATAGTTTTCAACAGAGTTAAAAAATTTGCAGTCTGATACAGAAGGCTAAGAGACCTGAACAATATGAAAGTGCTAGTCATTAATTTACAGAGATCAGGCATCACATAGTGCTATGACAAGTATCCAATATGCTACATTTGAATACACGTTGACACCTTACAAATGCCTCCGGTTGTTTGACCAGGCAACTTAAAAATCAAGTGCCTTGGTTAGTTATGTACAATATGAGATTTGTTTTTGTTTTTTTGATGAAGAAAAACGTTGACACACTACTGCCAGAGGTATAATCTTGAAAAGGCCCTTTGGCCCATACAGTGACAATTTTGACTGTCTCAATTTCAATTAATTAGCCCCTGTAGTATGTGTGTGGGAGCTGCCATTTTGGCATCCCTCTTATTTTTGGATTTCATAAGACAACATTGTTCAGAGGTTTTTTTTTTTTTTTTTTTTTTTTCCCCACTTGCTTAGCGTTCAAGTTATTGGTTTGTTTTCCCAGGCATTGGTTGCCTTCCCACATCTTCTGGTGCTGTTCAAATTTGATAGTCAGATTGAAGAGTGAGAGAGAAGAACCAGTTCTGGAACCACTACTTCAGGGAGCAACACAAGTGTTTTCATTTCACTACATTCAGTCACAGTTAGAAAGGGGAAGGGAAAGAGAGGACTCAATTCATCCCAGGGGCGCTGCCACCAAAGTTGAAATTGGATGGCACAACCGGATCTGCAAACTTGTATCCTCCATGCTTCTCAATCATCTTTGATTCTAAAAATCAATAGGAAAGAAAACCAGAAGTGGGATAAAAAATCAGCAGGCTGAACAATTGGGTAACATTTTGGCAGCATATTAAAGCAACACTTACATTAATCTGGATAAATTTGAAAATGCATCTTTGTTTTTTTCTTAGTGTTGGTCTTTTGACCACTCCGAAATGCATTTTTTGAATAGCAAAAACAATTGTCCAAATAATAAAAAAAAAAATTTAAAACCAGTTTTTGCATTGTAGTGTAGATGGAGAAAACAGGTATCCAAAAAAACAGAACTACGCTAAACTTCATTTAGGCGTGATGCATTTTTATGCATATTGTACAACGGCATTGTTGCATCCATCCATGTTATTAATGTTGCTTGAAATCAATGTTATTTTGTACAACCTTCATCTTATACTCCGGCAAAGATGACAATATTTACTCGCAACTGCTGACTAGAGTTGGGCCAAATTGGCATCGGACTATGTCCATAGTGAAACACTGCGATGGACGATGACATCCCCAGGAGGGTTGGGGTGTGCCTGAAGCGTAAATCCATATTCAGAAAGCCACGGAAAACAGATAACGCTTTCCAAGAAGCCACTAAAGGGACATGGTTAGCCGCTTGCTAGCGGTAGCTTGTTACATTACAGTAAATAAAATTTCCACTTGCCACATAAAGAGAGTAAGGAGAGATGACAGAGGACGATGGCGAATGACTTGCAGATCCTGGGCACCACTGACCAACATCTAAGTAAGTACTGGCACTTCGTAGTATACACAGAGTAAGTTATGTGTGATCGCCAATCTTGAAAGTTAAAGTAAAAAGCGAACGCGCATTCAAAAGCGATTTATATTAATATATATTAATAACCCTTTTAGGCCCAACCCTACTGCTGTCCCTAGACGGTGTACTGAATGCTGATTTTAAGTGTGACCTAGACGCATGGAAAGTGATGTCAGTGTGGACTAGTAACTTTTGGAAAATGGTAGTGTGGACTAAGAGTTTGAATCAAAAACACCTTCAAATACATCTAGATTCATGTGTACATATCCTAAGTGTTTCCAGCTTTTCACAGACTAGCATAAAGTACGTTTTGGGTCCAATGTCTGCCAGAAATATACTAAATTAAATATTGGTAGTACGTCAAGGGGGAAAAGTAAGTGCTGCGCAATCAATTACTCAACCAGCTTTTCCTTTTTTTTCTTTTCCTCACCATGTGCTGCTTGTCGCTGATCTGCGAGTGTTGCAATATCCTGAAGTTGCTTTCTTTGTTCCTCATCGAGACACTGTGTGAGCGCCTGGTACCATGCTGGGTCACGGGCCTGGACATCTAGAGGAAAGAGAGCAGTCTCTCAGTAAAACACTCTTTTGAAGTCGCTCATTTAATTCGTACTATAGGTGAAAGCCATACTCTGTATTATGGCTTTGAAGATCTGGTATTCATCAACAAGGTTGTCCTCGTCGTCAACTAAGGTCGTGTAACTCTCAAGAGCGGTCTCCTCTGCATCATCTTCCTCCCAGTCTTCATCATCACCGTCCTCTCCTGCTTGTTTAGCTAGCATTTCAAGGTAATCCTGGCCTTCATCATCTATGTCGTCTTCATCACTGCCTAACTCGGCTGCATGGATACACAATGAGTCACATGTCAAAATTACAGTTCATTACTTTGAAACAACAGCAGGAAATAAAGCAATTTAATCAAATATACCAATTCACTCAATTCGACATTCCATTTACAATGTAATAAATTAACTGGAAGAAATACAAGCTTGACTCTTTATTTGATCCAACTCCAAATTGGATTTAATTTCATATTTGATGCATTTCAAAATTAACCGATTTTCCAGTCTATTACTATATAGCTGCTTTCAAACAAAATGTATTGTATAAAGAGATATTAAAGTAAAAAAAATAAATAAAAAAAAACTACTAATTGATTTGTTACTTTTTAGTATCATTTGTTTTACATAGTGTAAAAAATGCTATGCAGTATCCATACTGCAATGTATAACTCAATGACTAAATATTAATGTAACCAATATCTAAAACTACTCATTCATTTTATTCAAAGACTGAAATACTGCTGCTACATAGATAACAGACTGAAGATCTGGTAAAGCTCATTTACCATTCTCCTCTTCCTCCTCGCCATCCTCTCCATCCTCATCCTCGTCATTTTCATGTTCAGCCCTGCAGGCATAGGCCCTCTTCAGGCCGTTGAACAGAAGAATGGCTGCAGGGAGGAGCTGACCTGCGACCTGATTGACAGCCTGTGGCCTCTGATCAAGATCCATTAGAGCGCACAGTCCTAACACGCACATCTTTCGATCGTGGAGCCTGCAAACAATACAAATCGCATGTTACAATGACCAGAACTTTTGCCCTGAGAAATGTTTGAGCTCTTTAGATGTCAGTGTACCCGAGGAAGCAGTCGATGTCTTTGAGCCATTGGGAGATGAAGTGGTTGGTGATGGGCTCAGTGTTGTTGGGGAAGCGCAGATTCTCCAGTGTGTTGAGGAGCAGAGGAGGGCTGTAATAGAGTGCAGCGATGGCCACCTGCAGACACATGGTCCTCAACTCGCTGGTCTTCACTTCACGCGTCAAACGCTCCAAAGCGGTCGTTAGAAACAAGGGCACCACCTACAGGAACAGGCACCAAGATGAACCTTTTCATTACATTTCCATTATAGCAAATATGTTTTCATAATGGAGTGGTTCAATCCCAGAATTTAGCATTTTAACACTTCCAGTTCTGTTGTCAAAGTCAATGGGCCTCATTCATGAAACATTCGTAAATATTAGTGCTGTGTTCGATTCGACGATGTATCGTCATAGAGATGTGATGATACGAGTATTAGAGCTGTCAAATAAAGAAAAAAGAAATCGAATTTCGAATATTCGTCGAATTAAAAAAATAAAAAAAATAAAAAAAATCCACATTTTTATTTTTAGGTCTGTCACGTTTAAAAAAAAACATGTCTCAAGACTTTATGGCGGTTTTCCCCCATTCCACTGTATCTCATGTTTTTAAATGAAGAAAGTAGCCTACTTTTGTGTTTGGTTTTTTGGTCCTTTGTATTAAACTATACATACATGGTGCGGTTTTTTTTTCTAATTGAGCAACTTTATTAATTCTATATGGTTTATAAACATTATTTTAAACATTATGTACTTTTTTCAAAGATAGTCGTGTTTTTTTTTTTTATTACGCTTTGAAGAAACGTGCATAATATTTTGCTCCTAACTGAAATTATGCCTTTTAAATTCGAATATAATTCATATTTTGATCATATTTAAGTAGAAATTTTGAATCAATTTTATTCGGTTTTTCAGTCATTTTGACAGCCCTAACGAGGATCGATACAGATATATTGTGGCACGTGCGCTGCAGTGGATACAAGAACACAGTTTAAAACGGAGTAGAAAAGTGCAAGGTTTCTAAAATATAATGAATAGAGCATAATACATAGGCTACAACAAGGTTTAATCTGGCCGCAGAGGAACACAACCGGGGTTGCCTGATATAAAGGGACATAATCTCTGAAATAGAGCTTCCCACTTGCACAACTAAGAAATATCTACTAAGTGTCTTATTTGTTTTTGTCAACCTGGCCACCATGTGCGCTCTCTCCACTGTGGATAAACGCACCGGCTTTCTGAAAACACCAGTCAGCTTGCAGTTTAGTGATCTCCACTTCAATATTCTATTCTCAGAAAAGTGTAATTTATCAAGTGTTCATTTATGAGAGAGAGTGAATTTATGTGTATGAATGAATTACCACCACTTCGCCGTGTTTCTCTATTAACAGTGAAGCTGTGGATTTAATTGCTTTAGAAACGATGATGTTACCAGCTCCTTGTTGAGAAATATAATGTAGCTCTTCAGAGATTAAGCTATTTTATTGATAACATTTTTAAAAAAAAATTTTTAAACGTAGAGTGTTGATTTGTACCATGATAACCTACCAGCAATGTTAAAATAATTTTAATATATTAGAATGAGTACATTACAATAAAAATTTATTAGAATGAGTACATTATTATTTATGGGCTTAAAAACGATGCAAACAATCAGAATATTGTACCTGGTGGAGAGTGCACAATTTAAACATGAAACATATGCAATTACCTATACTGTACTGTGTACAGTTATGGAGCCCGTTCATAATGCAGAGGTCAACTGCCTAATCTGCCAAAAGTTAGCTACAGCCCTATAGCATGCAGTGTTTCATAAACAGCTGTTTTACTAAATTCTTCTGAGGTGAAATTCAGTGCAGTCCCGTATCGTGATATGTATCGTATCGTGGCCTCTGTATAGGGATACGTATCTTATTGCGACTTTGCTGGTGATACACAGCACTAGTAAATATAGGAGCAAATTCTGAGCAATTTGCGCTTAAAACAGACATTCCCGAAAACTCCCCTCCATATTCATAAAAGCTTCATAAACTTCCGATTTGATAGTTAAACATGCGTATGTTAATGCATTCGTAAATAGGGCGCTAGTGCATGCTCATTCACAATTAGCATAATCCCCGCCTATGAATTACAGCTACGCAAATTGTGTGTCCAGGAATGCAGTGGAATATTCTGGTCTACTTTCTCAGGTTTGGCTCCAGTATATTGCATAAATACAAAAAAGACTAATAGGCCATATGCCTATCAATAAATACTCAATAACGTGTGTCCATCGTTTTTAGCCAGCTGAAAAAATGTCAGGCGCTCTTCTGAAAACGGCAAGCTGGTGGCGCTTGACAACGCTTTGGTGGCACAGCATTTTTCCAGCTGAGAGGCTTTGGTTGCTATGATTAGGAATATCCACGGCAGTAACGCATTACTGGGATCTCATTTTGAAGAATATTACTGAATATAAAAATGCAGTAACCAGCAATATAAACTTCTCGATTGTTGTTCAGTTGCTGTACAAGTAAGATGATTGGTCGGTGTAGTATTTGTCCTGCCCCTCCTCCATTAATTGGACAGCTGGGTAAAAAAGTGAGTGACAAGCGCTGCGTTTTACCCAAAGTTGAACAGTTGAGGAAAAAAAAAGAAAAAGAAAAAAGAAAAAAAAAAGAAGCAAACTTTTAATTTTTGATGCACTGCCATTATAATATAATTTAGGTGTCATCAGTTTGTCAAAAAGAACACAGAACGTTTTCTGCACCATTTACACGAGGTAGGGAGCAGGTGTACATTTCTTTCGTACCAACTAACATTTTGAAAATACAAACATTTTCATGAATTCGAAAGTTAACCTCAGAACGGCTTTACGAATGATTTACACAAATTCATTCTGCTCGTGTTTCATGAATGAGGCCCACTGGGTTTTTGGTTATATGTCTGAAATAAGGTCTGTGGTGCACATTGTAACATGGACAATGTTCAGGAAACACACCTGGTCAATACCACGACCTTTGCACTGTAGAATGATGACCTCCAACAGCTTGGCCGCATGGCATTCTGGGTCCTCCCCTGGGTCTCCTGACAAAATCTGATTGAGCACACAGTCTTACTAACACAGTCATATCACCAGTTTCTTCAAGTTAAAGGAAGTTAGAAACTTTATGGTAGCACTTTGTTTTTACAGTCCTGTTCTAAATGTATGTACTATATACATACTAGAGTAAAAAAGTACTAACCCTGAAGCAAACCCTAAACCTAACCTTAACCCATATTAAGTAGTGACCTTATATTTCTCAGTACTTTCTTTATACATACATTGTTTTTTAAAAAGTGCAATGGATTTCACTTTTGGTTTGCATTGAAGTAGCTGTACCTTTTTGCACATACTGTAGATTATTTCAAGGTATTTGGTGTCAGACAGGAGTGTGTCTGTGTCAACTGTGATGTAGTTATGGAGAAGTGGCATCATATCTGAAATAAAAAGGGTACATGAGGAATTATTTTAATATCTATAGTGAAAGTAAACAATTATAACACTTTTTCAAATTTGTACAATCATCTGACATTCTGTTTACAATTCAAAAAGGAAGTTAATCAAGTGAACATGCAAAGTAAATGCCAGACACTGCACTACCTGTGAAATAGTCAAATCCGTCTTGTTGGAAGACCTCATAGACCAGAGGGAGCAGCTGCCACATCTGAGGGGATACCTGCTGACATGTCAGACTGTGGGCCAGAGACAGGATCTCCTCGTAGAACTCTGGGAAAATTAACCCAAAACAATCAATACACAACCAAAAGGTCACACAAAACAGGTTTTTCCATTAGTGTGTGAAACTCACCCAGGACGTGCTGCTGGAGGACTGTGCCGATCACCTGCAGACAGATGCCCTCTAACTGCTGGGTAATCTGAAATCAATCAATCAGCAGTGTTAATGCACAGTGGCATCTCTCCATACAACGTCAGAATCACAAATATTACCACTAATGTTTGGCGACCGCAAAGTAAGCAAATACTGAAGAGAATGTTTAACGTGCTATCTGAAAGTGTGCTTGTCCTATGTCTCTCCAAACTCCACCTTGTTTGATATCTTCTATAAATAAATGACATTCATACATTTTTAAACAAGCATTCAGTTCAAATTCATTGCAAAGGGATTAGCATGAAATTGCATACAGTGCAAAGAAAGCGTGTATGTATATCGATTTCCACAAGGCTATTTAAAAATGCTCCCCAGCCAGTGAGGCACTTTGTCAGAAGTTGGCGTACATGTTTTTTTTTTTTTTCTCCACGTTTGTGGGTGGCTGGAACTAATTCAGCAGGGTGCTACAGGCTAGAGCAGTGGTTCTCAACCCGTGGCCTGTTTGGTAAAATTGAGCATCAGATTGGACATTTTTGTTATCAAGGGAGAAAAACAAAATGTGGAAAATGCCAGCGAAGGAACACTTACAAACAAGAGTAGTCGCAGCAGTGAAGGTAGGAGAGTGCTGTACTTTCGGCATCAACTTTCGGTTTGCTCCGCCACTCACTTGAAGCTGTTCTAGAGCCCTGCACGGGCCTCAAATATAGGCCCTAGTCCGGCCCTGGCCCGTGACGTTCATGCCCTAGCCCGGCCCTTGTCCGACACCTTATCAGAAATACTGTCCCGAGCCAGTCCTTTTTTTTTTTTTTTTCCCCTTCTCCCAAAACAGCTTATACTATTGTTTCAGCTATATTAAAATAGTTCAGTTTTGTATGTAATGGCAAAGTGATACATTTCGTTTCTTTTTTTATTAAGTTAATTTAGAAAAACCTTTGGAGAATTTTTTGGTCATTAAATAAGTTTTTGTTTTTTAAAGTAACGACCAAGTGGCCAGCGGCAGACAGTGAGCTGATCATAGTCTATGTTTGATCAATTTAGCCTTCTCAAATCATCTTGCTTAAAATAAAATCTATAGATATAAAACAGTTCAAGCATATAACAATGTTTTAACGTTAAACCTAGATAAATGTGCGCTATATCCAATAGTTTGTGCGGAGAGTGGAAGCTAAAGCGCGCTTTGCAGGACATAGAGGCACCAGTGCGATCACTTGCTATTTTTTCCAGTGGATACGCCGTCATTTTTACTCATAAAAGTAAGAGTAATACATCATTCGTAAGTGTATAGGGTCTACTTTTATTTGTGTGCACTCACAATAAACAAAATGTTGTGCTTTTATAAAATGAAAACAAACACGATGCGCTTTCTGCCGTCTCGGTCTTGAACAGGAGCGCTTACAAAAATGAACCGAAACTCAGTGAATACACACCTCACAGACACGATAAATATATCTATAGAAAGCTTTAAATTACTACTTAACGAAATAAAACAAATCAAAAACAAAAACCCTTTCATTATAATCATAATTCGTAAAGATGCACTTCTCTCTAAAGGTGCGTCTAATGAGGATATGGCGAGTCAGGATCGGCAACTTCATCCTTGTGACACAGACTCTAAAACACTAGTTTATTAGTAAATAACTCAAATATCTCCTTACGATTTCCCCCTGACACATTCATGGTAATTACTTTTGCCGGTGCTTTGCGGCAAGCTTTAGCCTATTGCGTGCATTTGAATGCAGAACTCAGATGGCATACATGCTGCTGCAGCTGGACACTAAACACCGTCGAGCCGCAACAGCACGGTCTCATGTGGTTTCCACCAGCGTGGCAAAAAAAAAAGTTTTCTTCATCACTAATTGATGGATGTCTAAAATATAAAAATAAGGAGAAGCCTAAAACAAGCCCGATGCCCGGCCCGCGTCTGAACTATGACGTGAAAATTGTCCCAAAGCCCGTCCCTAGGGGCGTAAAAAAGTCGGGGCCCATTGGGCCCTGGCTGAAATGCAGGGCTCTAGTTCAGGCAAAAGGAAACACCCATATACAGCAATCATTCTTAATTGCAGAAATGTGGCAAAACATCTCTGGAGACAACCTCAGATTATTAAATTCGAAAGTGCTTTCCATATTTGGATCAACATAGGCTACATTTGTGAACGGACATTTTCTGCAATCCCGCACGTCAAGTCACACTTCCGTGCAAGTCTTACAGACTGCAACTTGCAATCGCAACTTCATTGTGCGGTTACTCCTTTCGAGCCGAATTTCACAAAATTGGTCAGCTCCCGACAGTATCGGGTGTTTTATTAATGGGGAGTATAATTATTTATTTCAATGAATGTAATCGATTAGATATCATAATATTTAGGCTATAATAAATCTGATTGGTTTGTATTGGTGACATATGTAAATGATATATGTGCGGCCCGTGAGACTTGCGCTTGGACCATAGTGCGGCCCAGTGGTAAAAAAAAAAGGTTGAGAACCACTGGGTTAGAGACATGAAGAACTTCTGCAGTCCATGTTTCTATTTTCTCACCTCTTTATGGTCCTCCACTACACTCAGCAGTGTGTCAATGGTGTTAAGGATGCCCATGGCGGTCACTGCTTTATCGTCACCTCCTTCCTCATCAGGCCCTGTCTGGATCACCTGGTTGAAGGTCATGGCCTGGGAGAGAGGAATCAAACAGGAATGTTTACTTCTGAGATGATTCACCAAAGCTCTTTGTGCAAATTATTGCAACCTTATAAAGCCTACAGCATAATATTTTATATATTTCTAAGGCCTCTAAATAATATCGAAACATTGCTGGAAAACCTGTTGTATACAGTCTACTACTTGCCATGTTGTCTGATTGATAGTTTATACCTTTTTAGCAAGTAAATGGTCTTTTGGTATAATTCTAAAAACGTCCACCTTTGCTGTGAATTCTTTACTGATTTTCATAAACTAAACATAAGATTACATTTTAGTGCTGGGTGGTATGACCAAAAATGTATATCATTATTTTTGCAAAATTATACCGGTTTCACGGAATATGACGGCATTTTTTTTTTTATGCATGACTGGGCGTTAACCACATTTTCTACTGATTGAGAGAGGAAATACTGCAGTCGATTGACTCAGAAATGCCCTATTTTACTGTCATGATGAGTGAATACTGTAGAAAGATTCTACACAAAATGGTGATTAAATACGACCCATTAATACATGCTAACCAGGAGTCACTCTCACTTTACTCCTTAAATCCTGATTTATAATTGCAACATCGTCTGATAAAATCAACATGAATCTACACTTAAGAGCGGCAGTGCGGTTTTGGCTACATTCTTTTTTTAATCACATGCAGCGCACTGCCTGAGACTAAGTAACAAACTAAGTACATATTAACAGACGAACTATGCTCATATTTATAATTCCAAACAGTCAGTAAGCGACCGGTGCTTGGAAACTTTTAGGACTGTTATTTCATGTGTCAGGATTTATAGGGTGAAATGAATATTTAAATGGCTATTACCAAATGCTGGGTCATCTCTACAGCGATTGGTGTGACCTCCTCACTGTACTCGCAGATCATCTTCTGGATGACGTTGGTAAGATCGTCATTCTCGGTCTCACGCACAATTTGGAGGAGGGCCTGCATCACGGGCCGGATATGGGGGGTGATGTAATCTTTGGCTGACAGGAAAACCAAACAAAGCCATCTCAAATTCAGCTAATGCAAGAGGAAGGCATTAAACAGAAAAGAGAGAAATTAGTGAAATCTTACCTTTCTCCTGATTGCTGATGAGGACCTGGAGGGCGATGGCAGCCTCCACTTTAACAGGCATCTCGTTGTCGTTGATCAGACACAGGCGGGTGAGCTCGAGGGCTGTCTGCAAGTTCTGGTCAATCTTGAACTTGACCTCGCAGAAGTAATGAAGAACCCAGCAGGCCTAGAGGCAGAATTACAATGAACTAAGACAAGTCGACACTCGCAGCACTCAAGTCGTTGCTTTTATCTAGTGGTCGAATTATTCTTTAATAAGAGTGCAATAAGCACATCTCTCACCCTGGCTCTCATGTAACCCAGCTCACTGCGGAACAGAGGGAAGACATGATTCTGCAACATGAACTCCATCTGGTCTTTGTAGATCTTCCTCTGATTGAAGGGGGAAAAAAACAATACAACTAATCAGGATGTTCAATCCTAGAATAACCAATGCTGCTTTTTAAGTGTTACCTAAACATTCAAGTGATTTTAGACCATCTAAGCACAAGAACATGCAGAAGAACTCGATTTGCAAACACCAAACACTTGAAAGGACAAATACACACAAAACCTTGGCGAGCATCTTCAAACATTTATGTCTTAAGTGAATAGAAACAACTAAGAAAAAAACTGGATGTGCATCATTACACTGGAATGTGAATTTGGTTTTAAAGTGACAGCAGCCCAATGTCTGCTGCCACCTGCACCAATTACTCAATTTCTGCACCTGAATAATACTGTTAGAACTAAACTGTTAGAAAAATGTAAAGAATTATTTTAATTGTGACCCTGTCTTAAGTCGCTTGGGTATATTTTTAGCAATAGCCAAAGAAACATTGTATGGGTCAAAATTATCGATTTTTTACGATATTAAGTAAGGATCATGTTCCATGAAGATATATTGTAAATTTCCTACCGTAAGTATATCAAAACTTAATTTTTGATTAGTAATATGCATTGCTAAGAACTTCATTTGGACAACTTTAAAGGAGAGTATTTCGATTTTTTTGCACCCACAGATTCCAGATATTCAATAGTTGTATCTCGGCCAAATACCATCCTATCCTAACAAACCAGACATCAATGGAAAGCTTATTTATTCAGAAAATTGACCCTTGTGACTGGTTTTGTTGTCCAGGGTCACATTTATATCTTGTTTTTTTACTGTACTTTTGTGCTACTGCTTGTAAATTATTTTATGTTTTTTTTTTTGGTCAATTTTATTACCGACTATTCACTTCTCTTCAATATTAGTTGGGCAAGTAACTTTTATAAAAATTTAAATTATAAGTGTTGATGTCATAAGCTCATTTCTTAGAATACAAGGCAAAACAGCCAAACATTTTCTATTATATTATAATTGTTATTAATTGCATTATTATATCTTAATAAAATCACCTTGAGAAGAATCTCAGCCAGCGAGCCGATCATATGAAGAGCGCCGTCTTTTTTCCTGGGGTCACAGGCCGGGTCTGTTAGTATCTGATAACAGAAGCCCATGGACTTCTGCAGCACCTGTTAAACAACAAAGGCGGTTAACGAAAGATTCAAAATATCAAGACCTCATGATTCATGTCATGTGTAGGTTTTGTAGGAGACTATGGAGGCTGGCCAGTGGTAGATGGTCGTTTAGACGTCACTGGACCAGTACTATGATCTCCAGTGGATCTGTGGCTGTGAGTGTGGCGTGAGAACCATCTCACAGCCTGTAAGACACAGACCGGAGACGGCACTAAACGCAGATGGACACTACGCACACCGTCCACTCACAGCCAATCGATGGGCACTTTCAAAACACAGGCTGAAACTCAAATTCCCAGTGCTTACACACCTGAGAAAGCTCTAAACAGAGCATGTGCACGAATTCACAAGATCCAATTTAAAGGTGGGACAGTCGAGCGTAATAACCCTAAATAGTGTGGAATCAAGTAATTTCTACCAATTAGGCTATAACTAGGGCTGCAACCACTAATCGAAGAAACCAGACCAAGAATTTTACTCGATTAATCACGTCTGTGAGTGAAAACATCCGTCATCACTTTGCAGTAGTGCATTATAGACAAATATAGCTGAGGATACAGAGTGAATGGCTGCAGAAAAAGAATCAAGTTATTCAAAACATGAGAATGCCTCATATTATGCTTTTCAAAAAAAGCTTTAGAATATAGTGCAGCATGGCTTGTCAAGCGCTCTGGCAGATTTGTCTGCCATTAAATGAATTTGGAAATTGGTTTTCTCCTGTGCATAACTTGCATTCAGTAAATGTTAGAAAACCCAGTCAAGTATTTACATTTTGCATAAAAGTTTGTCCTGAGCGGAAGCAAGTCTCTGTTACACGGGCTTCATGTGCATACAGAAGAACTACATTAAAAAGGCATTGCATGTATATACAGAAAATGAAATATGGCTTTTTTTAAAAGTTTAATTGAGTAAATCACATTAATAGCTTATCAAAATAATTGTTAGTTGCAGCCCTAATAAAAACTATAATTCTTATAATAAATAAGAGACAGCTCATTGAGATGACGGAGAAGCTCTTTCCACCTAGCATCAGAAGCATCCAACAGTTCTGTGGAAGGAGCCGCAAGGTGCTGATTGGATACATGAGGGTTGGCAGTAAGAGATGCACAAAACTCAGCCAAACACAGTCACATCATGCCAGATGGCGCCTCCAAACACCCACCTCCTTCCTTTTGTTGCATGCAGTGAAGAGAAGCGTCTGAGCTGCAGTGGTGGGGGAGATGAAGTCTTCAAAAACATCTAAGAGGAAGCAGAGAGATTATGAGCAGATCTATCTGGCTTTGGTCTTCTGCTCAAAGAAACTTTTGGTAGTTCAGACAAATAAGGTGATGCTCTAACCAAATTTCATGCGGATGTACTCGTAAGGGTCTTCCTGCCAGAGCTCTTCATCGCTGTCTGTGTAGCACATGAGGGGGAACACCACGTCCTGAATGATTCCCTGAAACCAGACACATTCAAGTTGTATACCAAGAACTTGGATTACGTGTGTGACAACATGAGGCGGTGCTTTTGCAGTAATTTTACACTGGTTACAGAGGTTTTCAGTTAAGAATGGACTTGCAGTCAAATCAAATCAAATGCACAGCCACTTATGGCTTATTACCGGCAAAACACTCAGGTACTTCAGTAGCCCCAACAAAGGTTAGGAGAAATTAAAAAATGAAGTGACTGATTTGAACAAATAATGCACCTTTTAATTTGGCTACCTACAACTTGTGACTTTGACATAATTGACCGATTTATTTTACTGGGACATCTGATTTAGACATCACATTAGATAAAAAGCTTGTAAGTTTTTTTTCCCCATTTGCTGTCATATCATAAATAGTACACACTCAAGTACTATAGAAACATATTAGCTGAGCTCCCACACATTTTGTTAGATAATTATGGGCCATTATTCGAAGCATAAACCATAAGATGTGTCCTCCCTGTCATGGATATACATATATGTTAAGGTTAAATACGTTTTCATTGCAAAATTAAGACGCAAATTATATTTTCTGAAAGATATGATGTCCCTTTCCAAAACAGGGTTATTAAAAAAATTATATAATAATAATAAATAACAATTACATCTTCAATCATATTGATACAATTTTGTCCCTAATACTTCATTAATTTCCTTATGAAAACAAACACGTATAACAACATCTACATACTTGGATGTGTGGCTTTAGGTTCTTCCAGGTAACAGCGTGTGCAATTCCCTGGTTGATGTAATTCAGTGTCTGCTGCAAGACTCTGGGAGCCACGTATTGCTTTTCCCTATACTGATACAACACCTTCAACAGTACCTATCAGAAGCAAACAGTCAAAGGTCATCAGTTCTCTCAACACACGTCATGTCAACAACCCACTGAAATATCTACTGAAGTCTCCTGTTTACCTGCTGTGCAGCCACGGCATAACCCTTGAGGAAAAGCTCTGCAAACTCTGTGTACTCTTTGGTTGTGTTGCCAGGGCTGCCATACCTTGGGGCAAAAGCATGCATGAAAATCCAGTAACCGTTTGAAACACACAAGACCTTCAGCTGAGAATAACTACTCGAGCGTTTCTAACTGCTCAGCGTGGGTCGGGATTCAAACGGACCATGAGTCATCTGTGAAAGCTTTATCTTTAGCATTCCTGGGAGGAAGTGATGTTGTGTTAGTACTGCACCTTTCGAAGAGCCGGGCGAGGATGTGAAGCGCCCACTTCTTGCATTTCCACCAGGGCAGCTCAGGCCTCTCGTCTTCATCCACCTGAAGCGTCTCCTGCAAAGCCACACACACACACACAAGTACTTTAGAAGATCAGAGCGACAAAACTGAACACCGCATACTATTATAAAAAGTTTGTGAAATTGAAAAAACTTTCCAAAATGTAGTATGCCACACCTAGGTATTTCGTTCTCAGTATACATAATGCAGAAATAGTAGTATGTTTTTCTGAACATAGCCATCGATTCATGATCTTTAGGTGGAGTTTGTTGGATCTTGTAGGAGACTATGGAGGCTGGCCAGTGGTGGATGGTCGTTTAGACGTCACTGGGCCAGTACTATGATCTCCAGTGGATCTGTGGCTGTGAGTGTGGCGTGAGAACCGTCTCACAGCCTGTAAGACACAGACCGGAGACGGCACTAAACGCAGATGGACACTACGCACACCGTCCACTCACAGCCTATTGACAGACACTAAAAGATCATTAAAACCAACCCTGCCACTATACTAAACTCCCAAGCCCCATCACAACATGCATGATAAACAGAGCGCATCCTTACTGGAGGAACATCTCGGTCCACGACAGTCTTCAGAATCTCCATCCACTCGGTCAGATTCTGGCGATTGATCAGCTCCAGAGGGAGGTTGTACTGTAAAAACAGACCAATCAATTCATGAGACCCAAACCACAAAAGCGTCATTGTGGAAAAGCTGTGAGCTTCTTTAGTACAGGTATCAGAAGTGACAGTAATACCTGGAAGAGAGCGTAAAGGATCTTGAAGATCTGTTTCTGCACAAGGACAGAGTCGTTGGAGGGGTCCGGCAGCAGCTGTATGAATCGGTCCTTCAACATGGGCATAAAGATCTGCATAGCAGCGACCAATGGCTGGCGCTCCTCAGGCTTCTTATACCTTACAAAAAAACAACACACAGACTTATATCAAGACTCCACATTGGAGGTGTAGTATGGCTGTTCACACTGCCTGCTCAAATCCATTTTTGGTAAATCAGACTCAATTCGGTTTTGTTTTAGTATGTGTGAACCACCAAAAAAAAAAAAATAATAATAAAACGCACATTAAGCCTGATTTATACAAACTCAAATTAAATCTGATTTTTTTTTTTAGACTAAATAGTAATAGTGACATTTTTTTGTAATTTGGAATATTATGAATATTCAAATATAACTAGTGTCTATGCGTATACACAATACAAAATATTACAAAAATGAGTACACCTACCACACTTAAATCAGTAATGTGTACGTACAAGATCATATTCTAGCACATTACCGTGATTTTGCTCTGACAGAACAGCTACAATTTGCTTATTCAATGTATACATGTCAACATTCCGAATAAAAATAAAGATCTGCATAGCAGCGACCAATGGCTGGCGCTCCTCAGGCTTCTTATACCTTACAAAAAAACAACACAGACTTATATCAAGACTCCACATTGGAGGTGTAGTATGGCTGTTCACACTGCCTGCTCAAATCCATTTTTGGTAAATCAGACTCAATTCGGTTTTGTTTTAGTATGTGTGAACCACCAAAAAAATAATAATAATAATAATAAAACGCACATTAAGCCTGATTTATACAAACTCAAATTAAATGGTTTGAAATCAGATTTTTTTTTTTAGACTAAATAGTAATAGTGACATTTTTTTGTAATTTGGAATATTATGAATATTCAAATATAACTAGTGTCTATGCGTACACACAATACAAAATATTACAAAAATGAGTACACCTACCACAATTAAATCAGTAATGTGTATGTACAAGATCATATTCTAGCACATTACCGTGATTTTGCTCTGACAGAACAGCTACAATTTGCTTATTCAATGTATACATGTGTCAACATTCCGAATAAAACCGAAATAAAACAAAAACGATTTCATCTCAATGTGTAAAACAGTCCTCTTTGCTGTAACAGGTATGGGTGGGGCAAAATTTCCCGATTTCCATTTTCGACTGCTACTCAGTCATTTTAGAACAGTGTCACTTGGCATCATGTTGATGCTAGGCTTGCCGCGATAGACGGTGCTGACGGTGATACCGGTGTTAAGCCGCAACACCGGTTACGTCACTTGCCCACCGCGTCACCGACCCCCACCATCATGTTGATTTTTTATAGTAATACAAAATAAAAAATTAAAAACTGAACGCGGCTGCTCAATGTAGCGTGCCGAACGACAGTCGCATCACAGATCAGACTTCATTTATCCAGTGAGGAGAGGGAGTCGAGCTGACTGACAAGAAGAGTGGGGTGAGACCGACAAGACGATCACGGATGATTTAGTTTCAAAACGAAACGCAAAAGCGCCTGTTTGGCAATATTTTGGATTTTGAAAAGCCTGTTGACTTTTGCCGTTTATCTGATTTTGGAAGTTTTTTTAAACATTCGTTTCTTATTTAATTGGTTCCACATTGTTTGCTGATTTTTACTTGATTTAAACTTTGTGTCATTTATTTATTTTATTTGACATCAAGGTGTATGCCGTGCCTCCAAGCTTTCTTACTCGTTTTGCTAATAAACGTTCTACGTTTCTTATTTATTTGGTAATATATTATAAGATATGTTTACTTATTTCCAGTTTTGTATACCTATTTAAACTAAGTTATTTGTTACTTTATATTAGGCACAGCATGGTGTATTTTTTATTTGTTTTGTTAATAAAAGTTCTGTTTTATATATATGCTAAAGTGAGTTTGACGTTGTATTTTGTTGTTGCATTCAAGCAATTGATGCCGAATTGCCGCTAATTCGACAGTGAAAGTAAAATGCGCACTGCACTTTTAAGCTATTTAAAAGCAAAGGAAAGCGAGGAAAAGAGGGAAAATTCAAACGAACTAAAAACGAACAATTGCTTTACTCCGAATTGCCGCTATTTGAAAGTGAAAGTAAAATGCGCACGCCGCTTTTACAAGCTATTTAAAAGTGAAGGAATACAGAACATTTCCTCACCGTCACAACCCTAGTTGATGCCTACATCTTTACCATAGAAACCAATGGAAACTGAATACATTGTCTGAACTTATCCAATCTAAGCAACTGCAAAATATAAAATCAGGCACTCTGTGCCAAAGCCTGGTTTCGCAAACCCATTCAGAAATCATAATGGTGTTAACTGCAGTTGGGCATGTGAACACCAAACTGCCAAATAGTAGTCAGGTGATGGTTCATTTTAAATAGCTGATGACACTTAGCACAAATCCAGCCATTTCACAATAGTAAATTGAGTAAATTTAAGTCAGATGATGTCTCAAATGCAGCATAATGCAATAAATAAAAGCCCTGAGTGGAGTACGCAAAGATGATTCTTGCCTTTTGTAAAAGTTTTTCTTGTAAAACCACAGTGTTAACAGTTACAAGTTTTCTTTGTGTAGTAAATAGAGTCCTATGAAATCCACTGTAATATTTCACAAATTCACGTCTTTTCCATTGTATTTACTCTAGATTTCAATGGTTTACTTGAATACAAATCATCAAAAAGCATGTCTAATCAATTGAACATCATAAAATTAACCAATTACTAATTTACTAAAATTAACCAAATAATAGGACCCTATGAAATGCCCCCCCCCCAAATTCATTTTTTTAAGATTATTTAAAGGTGCAATAGGTGATTGTCTTCAGAAACTGTTTTTGTTATGCTGGTTGAAAGTCTCTTTACATCACGATAGCAATCATTAAGTTAAGTGGTCTAAATGTATTTATATATTCTGTGGAAGGCGTAGGACCAAGAAATGTTCGTCCAATCAAAACGCTCGGTCCGCTTTTCCATTGTATTTACTCTAGATTTCAATGGTTTACTTGAATACAAATCATCAAAAAGCATGTCTAATCAATTGAACATCATAAAATTAACCAATTACTAATTTACTAAAATTAACCAAATAATAGGACCCTATGAAATGCCCCCCCCCCAAATTCATTTTTTTAAGATTATTTAAAGGTGCAATAGGTGATTGTCTTCAGAAACTGTTTTTGTTATGCTGGTTGAAAGTCTCTTTACATCACGATAGCAATCATTAAGTTAAGTGGTCTAAATGTATTTATATATTCTGTGGAAGGCGTAGGACCAAGAAATGTTCGTCCAATCAAAACGCTCGGTCCGAGCATTTTAATTGGCTTTCCTACCTGCCTGTCAACGTATGTATTACCATACCTCTGCGCACCCTTTCCAAGATCTCCTATTGCACCTTTAACATACATTTATCATCCTAAACAATGGCAATTAAACAAACTTAATTTAATCTAATCAATCTTTAAAATGTAATCAAATAAAAGCAACAATTCCTTTAGAACCAAACGTAGCATTTTTGTCAAATAAATTGCTGCACAACACAGGTTCACTGTATGAATTTAAAAATATGGTTGCGGAAAAAAAAAATCTTCTAATTGGGTGATATTCCAAGTTCATTTTACTACACCGTAGCAATACATTTGTTGTAAAAGCTTAATTTATTTCGGCAGTTTGAAGTGAGGGCCTTTGAGTGTCTGTGTATATTTGACAACATTTTTATTTAAATGAAATTATGAAAGGCTAATGAAGGTATTTCTCAGAGTGGCTCTGGAGATGTTCACGTGAAGTCCTCATAAAACAAAATATCAGATGTCAATTTGATTAACTGTACAGCTCTACTCCTTGATTTTCATTCTGCTTTACAGTAAATTGTTAAAGACTGGATGTCAGGATTCGGTCTTTGTTTTCCACATTATGAAAATCATAGGGCTAAGCAAAAAAAAAAAAGGTGAAAAACAATCTTCAAATGATAATTAAAAGAAAAACAGCTCTCAGAAATAAACTGTACCCATCAAGATCTTTCAATTGTAAAGACTATTTGAAACGATTTGAAGAACGCACTGCGAGTGCACCTCCTATCTCAGTTATGAATAGTGTTTTTCTTGATAATTGTCATTTGTAAAATCACAAAAGGCAGTCTGGCTATAGAAAAAAAAAGACAGAATGAGATGAAAAATTGTCACGCAGCAGCACAGAGGCATTTCAAAAGCACACATCCACCCACTCCAGGGCTGTACAGATTGAATTATAATTTTGTGCCACAATTTCACTTTTGTGCCACAGTGTGTATTTGTATTTTCTACAGCAGGCCATCTAATAAGCATAAATATGAATATATATGAACGTAGAGTATAGTGTATATATATATATATATATATATATATATATATATAT